TATGGCGATGTTTTGTTCAATTACGGAGCATTGGAATTTGGAAGGTCCTGATATACAGGAAATGTAAACATATTATTTTATTTTATGCTATGGGTAACTTACTACATCTGCTGGATTTGGTTCGTCAAAAGTCAACTTTGATTTAGTGGTTTTATTTTGTTGAAATGGCTGGTTTTTATAACAACCATTAGTCCAAAGCTTGGATTTCAATCTGTATACAAATTTGTTTCATGACATGATACAAATTTATTTCATGACGTGAAATTCTCGCCCGTCCCTTCTTTCTCATCTGTTTTTTCTCTCTCCTGTCTTTTCTCTCGCTCACCCGTCTTTTCTTTCGCTCTCCCGTCTTTTCTTTCGCTCTCCCGTCTTTTCTTTCGCTCTCCCGTCTTTTCTCTTGCTTTTCCGTCTTCTCTCTCTCCCTCCCGTCTTTTCTCTCTCTCTATCCCGTCTTTTTTCTCTCTCTCTCTATCCCGTCTTTTCTTTCTCTCTCTCTATCCCGTCTTTTCTCTCTATCTCTCTATCCCGTATTTTCTCTCTCTCTCTCTATCCCGTCTTTTCTCTCTCTCTCTATCCCGTCTTTTCTCTCTCTATCCCGATTTTTTTCTCTCTGTACCCCGGCTTTTCTCTCTCTTTCTCTTCCGTATTTTCTGTCTTTTCTCCCTCCTTCCTTTTGTCTCTCCCTCCCGCATTTTCTCCCTCCCGTCTTTTCTCTCTCTATCCCGTCTATTCTCTCTCTTTCTCTCCCGCCTTTTCTTTCTTCTGTCTTTTCTCCCTCCCTTCCGTCTTTTTTCTCTCCCTCCCGTCTTTTTTCTCTCCCTCCCGTCTTTTCTCTCTCTCCCGTCTTTTCTCTCTCTCCCGTCTTTTCTCTCTCTCCCGTCTTTTCTCTCTCTCCCGTCTTTTCTCTCTCTCCCGTCTTTTCTTTCTCTCCCGTCTTTTCTCTCTCTATCCCGTCTGTTCTGTCTCTCTCCCTCCCGTCTTTTTTCTCTCTCTCCCTCCCGTCGTCTTTTCTCTCTCCCGTCAACTTTTAGTACCAAGATTGAAAGAACGCCAATAATGCACATGCTCACAAACTGCCTCTTATTGAACCAACAGTACAATTAACGGAAATACTGATTGATAGTTGATTGAGTTCCGTTGATGGTTGATGTTGAGTGTTTGGAAAAAAATCGAATTGCCAAAATCGGCCAGAAATTTGAAAGCTTGGTCGAAGGAAATGTTTTTATTATTTGGTTTAAACGTGTCGTACTCATCTTATCCATAGTAATTGATTATTTCCTGAAATATCACAATCTCCTTTTAATCCTCTTGTTACAGAACTTTATTTCATTGAATTGAATGGTTTAATATTTTGTGTTTTCAGGGACGTCGAGATTGGAGATGTAGTCACTATTGGAGAATGCAGACCTTTGTCCAAAACAGTCAGATTCAATGTATTGAAAGTGACAAAAGGCAGTAGTTCGAAGAAGAGCTTCAAGAAGTTCTGAATGACCTAAATATATTGTTCTAAGTATTTTTTGCGTTTCCTTTTCTGTCTGAGACTGCGTTTTATAGTAATGATAATCTTTATTTTCTTTCATGACAACAGTATGTAACAGTCATATTTGAAAGGAAAAAGCAATGTCATTCTTTGGCTGACACATTCGTTTTTCAACTTCAGAGAAATCCTGGGAATAAACTTGTCACTCCGCTTTGTCAAAAGATATTTTGTTGATTGACCTTGTTTATAAAGAAGAATAATTGTAGTCATTTGAACTGTCCTCCCACAATTTCTGAAATGTTCAAGGGATATTGAATATGAACCAGTTGAAAACGTTCAAAGCCAAAGTAAATCTCGAAATTACGAGTTCAAGACTTTAATTTCGGGGATTAATGTCTCAATTCCGAGTTTAAAGTCGAAATTTCCAGTTTGAAATCGTAATTTTGAGTTAAAAATTGAAATTTCGAGATTATACTCGACTTTTTGACTTTTATTTCATGAATAAAGTAGAAATGTCGGGATTAAAGTCGAAATTTTTAGTTTGAAATTGTACTTTTGAGTTTGAACACTTGAATTTTGACTTACGTACTTATTTGAAATATTAAATAACAAACTTGAAATTAAAAAAAAACGATTAAAAAATAATAAAAATCTTTTGGTTGTGTACTTTTGGATTTTCCATACTTATTGAATTTTATTTTCGGTTTTGAAACGCGAGGCCCTTTGCATCGCGAGGCAAAAGGTTTCGTGTGAGCGGTGGCCCACGTCTCACGCCGCCTCTGTTTTCATCACACGTAACAATCCGATCCAAAAAGGGTCGTTTTGGTTGCGTGACAATTTTTGTCGATCGTTCAAATCGTGGGGCACCCACTTTTCGAGCCGAAATTCGCTCATTGGCATAATATAGTAATAAACTGAAAGGAAGCAACAAATTTAAATTTGGGAAAAAAATTGTTGATTTTTTTGGTGAATAGATGTTTTTCGGTACCGTCGTATTTTATTCCGATTATCTCCGACATGCTATCCGGCTTAGTAAGAAGAGGTCTAGTCGTGTGTCACTGGCGACAAAGAATAAATTCATAATTGCAACACAATGTAACATATTTCCTCTACTTATGTTTAATTTATCTTGCAGGACGGGCTTCGAAAGGAGCGGTCTAAATGCAAACATGGGTGTAACATCGGGGTGTTAGGAGGGTCTTCTAGAACAAATGGGGTTTAAAACGTTTGGACATAGGATAGTCTAAAATATTATATCACAGAAGACAGAACAGCCATTTTTGTTTAATACCTACAGATCTGTTGTTAGTGTTGCGTCCGTTACATATGCTTTGCGTTTGACAGGTGTGTTCGTTCAATACAAATCTATGTGTTCGATTAACTCGCTTTACTCTGCAACCGTTCGATAATGCAGATCTGTGTCCTAATTTTTATCGAAAAATTACCTTCAGCGATGAGACCTATTTTTGAATGAAAGGGTACGTGAACAAAAACAATTGTTGAGTCTGGAACGAAACCAATCCACATGAGATCCAAGAGCGTCCAATGTATCCCAAAGTCACTGTTTGATGTGGATTTTGGGCCTGCAGCGTCATCGGTCTAATGCCCGTATTCGCAGAGGTGTAAGCAAAGTTTAATGCGTAAGCTCGTTCAACGCTTCAGTTTTGTATGCACCGTATCAACGAACGCCTTTAAGTTCTCTTAAATGTAAGCGGCCAAATTCGGTGGCTTTATATGTAAAGGCAAGCTTATGTAGACATCATAACCTCACTTATTATTCTTTAGGTTTGTAAATAATGCATGTGTCGTTTTGCTGAAATGTTTTAAATTAAAATTAGTTGTTGCAGAATGATGGAACTAGAATATGAATTCTTCTTACAAATCATTGATTTTGGATATCAACGAAGAATTTTTAGGAGGCCCAACTATTTCGAGGAGATGGATAATATGGACTTTTACAGAAGATTCGGACTGACCAAGCTGACAACACTATATGTGCTGGAGCTCATAGAAGATGCTTTAGAAGTCGAAAACGTTTTGTAAAAAAAACATTCAATTGTTTTCACTTTTTTAAATACAATCATAAGATATAAGTGATCACTTGTAAAATAGCAAATTTTGAAGTGGTTTTATAGTATTATTACTGTTCAGCAGAGCTGGCCATCGGCCGAGAAGCAGGTAGTACTGAGAAGAACATTTCTCTCAGTATAGGTAATCAGTTAGATCTTATTTTATAATATGGGGGCAATGATTGAATTGCAAAAATTAATTCTCCGTTGAGGTAAAGTTTGGAACTCTTACTTTTTCATTCATTTCGCTTGTAGTAGATATAAAAATTCACTGGTAAGTATGTTCTTTTGTCTGATTCTGATACTTTTTGACAACAAGGTAAAAGTAAACCATCGAAACCCCAATTTTTATTAAATTCACCTAACATTCGGTTCACGTAATTTGAGAATTGACGCGTAAACAGTATTCCCGAAAATATACAACGTTGCCAAGTTATTTTGGCGCTGGGCTAAGCTACGTTTATTGTTCTGTGGTGCATACCGCAAACATTTAAGCTTGTCTTGAGTTTTAAGCTGGCTTACGCACGCTTCGCTTTACAGAGAAAACGGTGAATACGGACATAAATTTTATTGAATTGTATTAGAAAATAGTATAATGTGGTATTTCTTTATCGTCCTTGCTTATCATTGCGATGTCGAAATGTTACAGGGTTGGATAGAGAACTGAAAGACCTTTCTAATAGGTGTAATTCGAATATTATTCCTATTTGAAATATTCGATATGAGAGTTGTTGTGCCTGTAGCATTGAAATGAAAACTTCCGCTACACCCATGGGACGAGAATCGTTTTATTAACGCCAGGTCAATAATTCGTCATGACTGTGAACATAGTCTCCAATAAGAGAAAAAAAAGCGAGATTCATTCCGGCGCACTGAAATTATGCAAATTGCTGATGCAGTCTGCTGTCTGGGGAACCATACACGCCGATTTTGGGAGGAGAGAATTGAGAGATGAGACTAGTCGGCAGTGTTGCCAACGCGAAGAAATTGACCAATTACAAAAGATGGACATTTATTTGGAGACTCATCATAGAGGTGACACCTAACACAATTACTTTAGTCATTATTATTATTCAACTCTTTTCTATAGGACTTGTAGTTTTCCGGAAAGCGCAATGAACCGTAAATTATTTTATCTTTCACTACTATTTTCTTTCACTTTTTACCTTTTTCGAAAGCTTCGGCATTGGTCTATATAGGAGACATAGCTTTTGTAGATTCGAAATCGCTGAGATAACTTCATCTGGTAAGTTTTCAGGGAAATATTAGTTGTTCCAAAGGGAGTTTCGATTCGTAACAATATCAACTGAAATTCCCCGGACTATTACTCCAAGACAACGCCGTTTGAAAGGACATTGGCTCTATAATCTAGTTGAAAGTTACCAATTCTAGCTGCTTATCCACTTCCGCTTTTCATACATTCAGTTCCAGTAGTCGAAATGTAGCGAAAAGTCTAATAGCTCAAGGAAAATGTCGCTTCTTATTTTCACGCTCCGTACATCAAGTTATTGTTTAGAGATGTTCCATTGCTGCACACTAAATTAGCGAAGAGGATTGTTACTTTCTTCAACTCACCCTAGAAGTTCAGCGAATTTTGATCTTTGTTTGGTTTCGTTGAGAACTTGTTTAGATAACTTCTTGATTAGCAATAATTAAGTGATTGTCAACATGTATTCCCAACAATTTAAAGATTGTTAGCCTTAATTAGATGAAAATCCTTCTTACCCGTTTATTATATTTTCGTATTTTTTGTATTGATCGTGTTTTTGATGCCAACTCTAAGAATTGCCAGGCGGATCTTTGTAAAAAGTGACATGAACAGCGTATTGTTCACGGGATTTACAGCTTGTTCAGAATTAGGTAGGTAAGGTGGATAACTGTAAAATGTCATAGGCAAAAAGTTAATAGACAACATCAATCATGTCGCGTAAACAACGGTTTAGACACTCTTGAGTCCAAGATTATTCTAGTACTGGAGATCTGTTAAAAATCTGTTTTTCCGTTAATCATCTGGGATGGGAAAGAACAACTTTTACCTGTCATCAAAATTGAGAAACACACCAACTATCTTGCACTAGCACTTGAAAAAATGGGTTTTTGTTATTTTTAGAAAACTGCATTACTTCAATCTATTCCCAAAAAGAGCAAGAAAACTTTTCCAAATAATAAGATGATGACGAAATGTTATTCTTGGACTTGTTCAGCATTTGATACAATTCGTGAAGGACTAGCCAAAACACAATGCATGTTGAGATACTTAAAATAAAGAAGAGGTAGAAAGTAGATATTTTTGGTAACCTTGAACAACGAGCCCGAATTATGACATATGAAATATGACATAGAATCGAAGATATTGAAAGGAACAAACCTAGAACAATGAAAGAGTGATATTTGTGAAAATGTTGTCAATAACAAGTAAAGAAGCATACATTTCTCTGAGATGATTAATATCAGTTCTTGTTGAGGCAAGATTTGGATTGAGAAATGAGAGCCATTTCCAGGAACAATCTCCCAGACACATTTTTTTCAATTTAGTGGAGGAAGATCAAACTGATCTTCCTCTTGAAGATGATCACTTTCGAAACACGCATCGTGGTGTTAAAATAACGGTTTGATGTTGGGAAAAAAGTAAATTGTTCACTGAAAATCTCAGTTTGAAATTGAACTATAGTATTCTGCAGTGAAATGAAGGGATCTCTAGTATCTATGTATTTCCAGTTTTTTATCTAGGTTAGAGCGTTTAATGTTTATGTTTGTAGAGCGTTAAATAACCAGCGTCTTAGGTGAGTTTAGGATCTTTGTCCTGTTACTTTTGTTGTTCGAGGTACTAGCACATTAAACTTACCTTTTTAACTTGTATAATGCTCATGAGCTTTGAGAGCCAATTCTGTTTTATCTTTGAACTGTTTCAGCAAAATTATTTTCAAAGAAACTCTGAATATTCATCTCTCCCAACTTTCCGTG